AAATAATTTACTTACAATATTAAAAATTAAAATCTAGCGGGCCAGTGCATAAGGAGCAAAAAACAAAATTTTAAAAACTATATTTATGACATAATAATAGTCACAATTATTATATCTATAAAATAGAGTATAGAAATACAGAAGACTATAGATTACTAGAGACTAGCAAATTACAAGCAAATAGGAAAGAAATAACAAATACTTGGAAAATTGTATGGCAGATTACATTAATGAGAAAATTACGAAAATTGAATATTTAAAGAAAGTTAGCTTCAAATTTGCAAATCAGTGGTTTTAAATTGTATTTATTATATTTTATTATTTGTATTTCGTATACCTAAGTGATGACTAGTTGACTTCCAAATCAACGATTTAAAATTGTATATATTTTATCATTTTTTTTTTTTTAACACACATTAACGCACATTATTAATTAAATCTACTTTTAAGTTGACAGTCCTAAGCCTATAAAATTAAGAAGGAAAATTTGCGTAATTAAACGGGAACCAATTTGGCTATACCTAATAAAATACCTTTTTCAAACGGGAACCAATTCGGCTATACCTAATAAAATAACTTTTTCAGGCGGGAACCAATTCAGTGCGTGAGTTTGGAGCTCGGGAATCAATTCGGTACCAGCCGGCCGATCCTAGAGCCGATAATTAGTATCGGCCGATATTGGTGGTATCGGAAATATCGGTATCCGTTTATTTTCAAAACAGATATTTGAACGGATACCGCAAAAAAAAAAAAAAAAACCACCAGCATAAAATACATTAATACCAATAATAACAATATTTTAATCACTAAATTTCGATAGTAATACAGTGTTTAAAATTAAAAGGAACATTGTTATTTAATTTGCAAATAAAACTGCTTACTTACTAAAATAATGTAATGCTTATATTATGTAATATCGGTTTTATCGGTTTGCGGTATCGGATTAATTTTAGTATAGGTTCATGGTTTTTGCCAAAGAAGTTGATTTTTTTTATGTAATATATTAAAATCAACTAAGTTTTTACTTGTGATTATTATATCGGGTATCGGTTTTGTATTGGTTGCATATACCGGTATATCGGGTATCGGTAAAAAGTGGTATCGGCCCATCATTAATATGGTAGATATTATATTTAAAATGCAACGTATGTGTAGAGATACAATAAATAAGGTACTCAAAGGCAGTATCGAGGAATCGTCCTACCTGTATTATAGATAATTATGCAAAGTCGTGATTTTAGGTCCGCAGTGTCGAGTTCAGTGAAAATCAATCATTTTTATTAGTTGGCCTTTTCGAAAAAAAAATTATCCACAATCGCGAACTAATCAAACTTTTCATATTTGTAAATAAAATATAATATGTATTTCACCGTGCACCGCTGGGAAAATCGTAAAACAACTTTTAGATTAATATTACACGATTGTGTTTAGAGTTCAAAATGTATTGGAGTTACGCAATAGTGTGTTCATTTATAAAAATTATTATATGACCGATGCAAAACCCAGGAATAACGAACGAGGCAACCATAATTATTATTTTTATGCACTGCGCTCATAATGTTTTCTTAATAATAAAAGGATTTTTTACTCTAATTGCATTGGAAAAAAATTGCCATAGCTGAAATTACGCTAATTTCTTCGTCGTCATACGTTAATGCGACATACTCGACATAAATGTGTAAGTAAAATTAAAATTTTTAACTTTCGTTAGTTTAGGCGGAAATTGATTGTTACCACTTTAGATAGAAAATTTCTATATATTTAATATATTCATTCATTTACGTGTTATTATTAATTTTTAATTTATGAATTGGTTTCAGTTGACATGGATTGATAATAACAATTTGATATAAAAAATATATTATTTCCTTTTCCAGTTGTAACAAAACGGCCGGTGTGTTCGAAAAAGGTAATAGGTACTATTAATGGTTTTTTTTTTTTTTTTAATATTTATGGGCAGCAATTATTTCATAATTGTTTTTACAGCGTACTGCGTTAATTTTATATACGGTTGCGCGAGATATACATTTTGCGTGGTTCTTATAAGTATCCCTGAGATTGAAGTGTAATTGCGTCAATTTATATACCTCATAAAATATTTCAGAAATTGAATTATTTACTACGAATCATTTTCGTAGTTGTTATTTATTTGTTTTACCGCGATTTCCTCTTTTTATCAGAATTAGATTCTTATCGTGCGGACAAATATTCAATATTTATCGTGTAAAGTTAACAAAATATTTATAGTTGAATGCAATGATATTGTCTTTTAATTAAAGTTACCCATACAATTTTTTACAAACTAATAATGCTCATCATGACTATCTACATTTCAAAAATATAATTTTTAAACATTTCTGAATAGAAATCAATAGAGTTTATAGAAATCAATAAAGCATACATTCAAAGACAAACAATTTCATACGCTTAATTTCTTTAAAATCCTTTAAAGGTTATTCCACTTTTTATTTTTGTACTCATCCATCATAATCTAGATTTATTTACTTCATATAAGGATCATATTACATGAAAGACAGCCTTTTTATTTATTTTACTCCTTTCGCTATTGTAGTTTAAATTTCAGCGGTGATCGATTCAAGAAAAAAATATACTTTATAAATTATTTCAGTCACGACAAAATGTTATACAAAAACGTAGACGTATTCCAACCAAATGATCCAACATGAACGATCTCGTCTGTGGACCTATAATCAGCTAATCAATTTTATTATATGAAATATTGATCAATATGTACGGATGAAGTATAATATTTTAGAAAATAATCTTGTATACGATTTTAAAAATATAAGCCAACATTGTATTAAAAATTAAATTCGGTAATATATCAAAATTCTATAATACTTCGAAGTTATTACGAAACAACTAATACGCAATTACTTTGAATCTGAAAAAGGAGTAAAAACATTCGACAGCCCAAGATTTCTGTATTAATTAATATAAGTTAATATGCATTTGAACATTGAACAGATCATTAATAGGTTTGAGTCATCGGGAATTGACTATTTAATATTTACTGCCTATTGTTTATTTCACATATTATGTACTAAGGTTTTCAATTGATTCATATAAATTATTTATTCATTATAATCAGCAAATTTTGTATACTCAAAACTGAATCCAACATAATGTTTCTACTATCAACATGTTTTTTTCCGTTTTGGATAAGTTTCTCTATGCTTGAATTGGTGAAATAAAAATAGTTGGACTTCAATTACTTTCGAAAAAGACAACATTCCAATAATTCGTTCTGACTGGTTGTTGTGCGGTAACTGAATCCCTTCTTACATATATTTCCACAATTTTAAATATCAGTTAAATTTTATTCTGTATTATTATTTTTTTTTTTTTTTTTAATAATGGCTTGAAAATATTTGAGACATGATAGCCATACGAGTAGTTCAAGACTTAACCTAACCAAAAAATATGAAAATAATTCAAATATTTTGTGAATGTATTATATACTAAGAAAAATATAAAATTATCGGTAAACTATCGGTATTATTAATTACATGTAAAAAAAAATAATCGAGGTATGCTTAAAATGTCTGAAAATAGATGAGATGCCTTTACATACGTCCACGTTATTTTCAAACACGAATAACAAGTATAAATTGTATCTGTTTATTATAAACTATTTAATACTTTAATATTTTTTTTTTTGTATTTGAAAAATTATATTACACATCTACAATGAAAACGCATTACAAACGACATTCAAATAAGTATTAAAAAAATGATTTAGTAAAAACTAATTTTATTTTATTCTTTTAAAAAAGATGGGTTATGTAGTATTATTTTATATAGTATTTATAGTGAGATATTATAGCTGAGACTTAAAATATTATTGACTGCAATTATTTTGATATAAGACTTATCATTTTATTATAAAAGAAAACAATTCATCATTATGTTTCTTATATTTTCTCGGCCGAGTTTTTTATGCATTTACATATTCATACAGTTATAATTATGATTACAATAAAAAACTCAGGAATTAAAGAGTTTAATATTTTTCATTGTCAGTAGTTTAATCCGTGAACTCACTTAATTCAGCACCAGATGAATTTTGGACGTAAAATTATTTAATATTAAACGAGAGTGTGTGCGAACAATACAAAAATAATAAAATACACGTAGTATGATGAACATTTGATGATTATTTCTCAATTAATACGTATATTTGAATAAGTTGAAAATGTTTTTTGAGCATTTAAACCAGAGTCGTTAGAAAACTTGTACACAACATCTCTAATATCTGCTCGCGTGTAAACGCAATGGATTATTGTTACGTCTAACGTCGACGTATTGAATTTCTCGACCTTTTCGAATTTCTTTTTGTTCTCCGCGAGAATCAACATAAAGAGTGTTTTTACGGGTCTCGAAATAATAATTAGGACACCTTGGGTTTTTACCTTCTGAATTCCATTTTTTTGAATCCGTCCCTCCAAAACTTGACTTCCGTTGAAGGGACTGGTTGGGTTCCCCATCGACTGGTTTACTCCTCGGCTGTCTTTTCGGCGGTATATCCGAATGCAGCGAGGCCACGCTGTCCGCCTGTTTTAGCACACGGTCTGCTTCCAACGCTAGTTCACGTTTAGATGCTTTGATCTTTTCTCTGCGAACTGGCGTGGGTACTAAATGACCTTCACCATCCCCAGCTAAAGCTTCCACAATACTTGCTGCGTCCGAGTTGCCTGGAAAAAAAACGAACAAAAACTGTTTAAATTATTACTGTATCGCCGTATTACCTAATCTCTGTTTTGAAAATAAAAATATGTTTAAACACATTGTCCAGGCTGATGTAACGCATGTTGGTAACTCGTCAGTAAAAGTGATGTTAACAATGGTATATAAACGTATGATATATTTTGATATTTTACTACTACAGTAGAAGCCGTTTATTTGGAACACTTTTGGACCAAGTTGAAATGTGTCAATGAATTGTTTCTAATAAGCGATTGGTTTTATTTATTATGAAAAAAAATGTATGTGCGTTTATCGTTGTCTGTTGTTTTGCTTCGAAGAACTTGATGTTCATGATTTCGTAAGAATAATGTTGCCCAAAGCCTTTTTCATCCGCACGGTGCAGGGCTGCTTTCTTGAGGACACTTACGACACTCATAGAACTTCTACAATTTCTTTACTTCATGGTGATGGACCGCTTTTTTTCTTCTTTATCATCAGTAATAGCTTGTTAAATTGTTTGAGAGTTCATAACCGCATTACAGATCTCTTCTTCTGTTGAAACCTCTGTAATAACCTGGAATAACATCTGTAACATCGAGGTGTGAGTCCACATCAATCCAACCTCCGTACACTTCTTCCGAGACTTCGACTGATTTCGATCGTAACGACATAAGAAAAAGTACATTGTAATACAATACATTGGTTACCGCTAAATAACCGGCATTTTTTCGACGAACTTGGCCCTTATGGTTTCAAATAACCGATGTGGTGTTTCAACAATCTTAATGATTTACAATGTTTTAATATATGACCGATCCATCCCTAGACATTTTGTTTCAATTACGCGATTGTATCAATTATCCGTGTTCCTAATAAGCGGCTTCTACTGCATTTGATAGATAACAAATAAGGAATAACATTTTAGAAATATACAAATATCGTCAACAGATTTAATACAAGATTTCTGTACTTATTGGACCAAGGGATAACTAAGTGGTGACTCGACCCCCACCCCAGAAAAAATATGTTCAAAAAACATAAATGGCTTGCTACAAAGTTAGTACAGTGAAAGAGAACATACATTTATCATTTATATTATGTAGTTGTAAATAGTTCTTAATTTGTATTTATAATATAATTAACAATTCATATCTTATACGTATTTTTATATTATAAAATCACTTATTTTTTGGGAAAATTTTAAATATCCTCCACAAAAAATTTGAAAATATGCCACCGGTGATATCACTTTACTTTTGGATGCAAAATAGTTTCATGCATTTTTTTTTATAAGATCATAAATCGTTCATCAAGTTTTGAGCTTTACTTTAAAGTATAATATTTTTAATTAGTCATAATTTTAATAATAATAGAATTTTTTTTTTTTTTTTGATTAAATCGATTGTTTTCATTAGATTTATTATCAAATATATTGTCTCACGATAACTTTCCATTATACAATTATAATAATTATCCGAGTGACCAATTTCTATCGTAGATATAATTTACATTTTAATTGTTAAAGAATTTTATAATATATTTCATACCACGGTGGTTTTAAAAAAATTAAAATATGAATACAATTGTTATATTTAAATAGTTGCTGATAAATCTTAAACTGTGATATATTATTAAAGACAAAGCTAGAACTATTGTTTTAGAATAAGTTTTTGTGTATATATATTCACATAATTTCAAAAAATCACATCATTTTTTCATGTAGGATTGAAAAATGTATTATCCTATGGGCATTTATGTTTATTGTATTGATTGTGAATATATAGACTATAATAAATCTGACTGTAGAATAATATCTGAATGTTTTAAATTTTCTTATTTTATTATTGTCTAAATTTCAACTTTATAGTCTTTATAGTACTTTATTGTTTTAGTTTCATTATGAAAATTATTTTTTATGTCATTTGAAGTTTTTATAATATAATTTTACAGAAATAGCTTTAGATATAATACTGACACAGTAAGAATAATTCTAAGAGTCACATCACTGAGAGTAGGTTCAGTTATAATGCTTATAATCGATACGGATTAATTTCATATTTCGAGAACAACGTTATACAGAATGCACCGGGTGAAAAGGTAAATTTTCTATTTCCTCAATATAATTGTTTTGTGTAGAAAAGCGAAAAATAATTAGTTCGACGAACTGCGTTCATTGGTTTCCGTTTCGTACACGTTTTTCATAAGATAAATAAACTCATGTTTTTAAGACTTGAAATTATAATACCTACATAAATATTATATTACTTATCGTATGGGTAATGCATAATAATAAATCATATAATATATGATTTACTATTATGTATTACCCAGATTATCTAAATACTTTAATTATATATTATATAATTAAAGTATCTGGATTTGACAGCAAGTTTTTTTTTTTTTTTTTTTTGTGAGCACTTAATAAATTTATATATTCACTATATAACCTACCTTCGTTTAGTAGTTTTTGGAACGAAATGGGATTAACCATAATGCTTTAAAATGTAAAAACATCCGCCCCAGCGACCTATCCAATTAATCCGACTGCTTTTTCTTTTTTTCGTATTAAACTCATTAGATTTACGTTATTAACGAATATTACTCAGAACTAGCCGTCAAAATATAACAATGAATTGTGGAACATAGATTATTTGTCCGGAAATGTTTGTGGTTGTATTCCAAAAACGTAAGTTACAAAGCACACATGACATTGAACGACGCCCATTTTTTTCGACCTTCTTCTGTAGACCTAGTTTCTAATTAGACTTAATATGCTGATCGGTTCTTTCAATCGTACAACCATATGTTCATTTTATCCTTCAAATAGGACGGAAACTTGATTATATTATGTTTTTATCAATCGTATCTTTGAATCTAAATAAATCCGTTCTATCCAGATTTGTACACAATCTCAAATTATTATTTTTACATTTAAATGAATGCAATTTTTTTTTCTTTTATCTCGCGACAAAATTGCCATAATAAAATTATTTACTTTCATGATTAAGTTGTAATTTATAATTTAATACATCTATATAAAAAAAAAAAATACGATGACATTTACAAAAAAAAAATGAACCCTATGAATCCAACAATTGTTATTTCTCACGATTTCATACTATTGTTTTATTTTCTCATGTATACATAGTATACGTATAAGATATATTATGAGCTATATGAACACTATACGACATTGACAAAGTAAATTGCATAAATTCTTCACAATTATTATTACCATGTTCATGAAATTTATACGTACATTATAAATTATAATATCCAAATGCATAAACAAATACCTGTGTATAAACATTTTGTAATATCATATAATAACTATATGTATCTTACGTACTTATTGAGATTTATTTTCCACAAAATCATCAATCAACGCTCACTCGTTTTATTGACAGTAGCTTCACATGTATATGTATACGTACGCGTACGAAAACCTCATACTTGAATGCAATATTATTTTTCGTAATAAAAGTTAAATAATCTTTTGTTTTTTCCACTTTTGTATTACTACTACTACTATTACTTCTACATATATACACACACTCAATATTTATGATTGTATTCTTCCATTCATGTTGACGGTACTATCGTTATATTTGTCCACGGTCTTCGGTGCTTTCGTAATCGATATTTTATTTTTAAACAATTTTCTTGACTACGACACTTCAAAGCGCAAATGCGTGTATGTAAAACGTTTTATTTTCTGTTTTCTATATCTACGATGTGAACTTGACGTTCACTTTGACACACGTACTTGATTTGTTAAAATTATATTTTTTCACATAATAAATTCATAAATAATAATAAGTGTTTTTTTTTTTTTTTTTAAGCTATCTTCGTAACAATATTATTAAATCATTCTGCTGCGGATAATCACCGTCATCCATTCAAAACCCCCCGTGCCGTTTCAAGTAAAACACGTCAAGTTCTATGCAAGCCCGTGATTTTTTTTCCTCGAGATGGATATCAATTATGTCCGTTTGCCTGCAACGCCATGAACACGTCTACCGTCTACACAATTTTATTCGTAAAAAACTGCACACCACATTGCGAAATTTGAGAACATTGTAGACATAATATATATAAAAAAAGGGCAGCATTCGCACTAAGTAAGTTTCTGAAATCAAAATTATTCTCAAAGAAAACAAAGACAAGGTTGTACACGGCTATAATAAGGCCCACGTTAACCTATGAATGTGAAACCTGGACAACCACTAATAATACAGGAAGGAAACTATGGACGTTTGAAAATAAAATATGGAGAATAATTTGCGGTTCTGTCTATGATAATAGAACAGGTGCGTGGAGAAGAAAATTTAATCGAGAATTACAGGATGAGTTGGAACTGGCACTAGTCACTAGCTTCATAAGTGGACAACGAATACAAAGGCTTGGTCACGTAATGCGCAGAAATGAGAAAGAGACGGTTAGAACGGTGCTGGAATGGAGGCCTACGGGAAAGAGGCCTCGCGGACGGCCTAGAAAAAATATGGTTGAATACAGCGGAAGAAGACCTCAGGAAAAAAAGGAGTACGAGAGTGAAAGAGTATGGTTCATAATAGAGGAGAATGGAGACAGATTGTGATGGCGGCAAAAACTCTTCAAGAGTAATAAATACCAGCAGAAGAAGAAGAATTAGACGAAATATAAAATATAATATCTATCTGGCCTCGACTAAACGACCAAGTATCTACTTTTGACGTGTTCACCGTGTGTCATGTTTCTAAAACTTTACACATACATTAAAAGAACCTAAGACAAACGTAATTTCGTACTGCACTTATCTACAGCCGGAAGTTAACTTCGTCCCACAGTCGTTTGTAATACTGTTGTGACGAAACAAGTAGATTGGTGTTTATAGTATAAGTGTACAGTGTAAAGTTAAACATCGTTGGCAACCTAAAAAAAAAAAAATCGAATTCCGGCACTGTACATTTTTTTTTACAACTTTTACATTTCGAAATACGACGTAGCTGACTGTTTTCACGATGTGTCCATAGAAGTATTCGACGAATATGTTTCATCGATCCTCTCTAACACTCGAGTTTTGAGTGAGATGGATTATCGTTGATTTCAACCGTACACAATTAACGAAAATTGAAACAGTATGAAATATTATAGTGTGAACATTTTGAATTAAACTATAAAAATGAACGTATTTTAATAAATATCATGACCGTTTGCAGGGCCGCATTTAAGGGGGGCACTAGCTACAACTGCCCCGAGCACCAGTTTTTTGGGGGCGCTAAAATTTTGTGGTCAGAAATTTATTAAAAAAAATGTCGACTATTGACCATATCAGTAAATACATTTAGCATACATGTAATTTATAAAAAAACAATTTTTGACCAAGCTAACGATGTTAATTTTTTGAGAGTCCTAAGTCTGTAATAATTGGGAAGAAAAATTGTAAATTAATAGTTAATAAGTTTGAATGCATGTATATGAAAATTATATGTAGAAGGTATGTATTGTATACATTATTTTATGTTGTACATAAATTATTATACATAGCGTATGGTGCGTAATGGTGTTGTTATTTTATCAGGTGAAAAAGGATCGGGGCGCAATCGTATTTCAAATTTTTTGCGTAATCGTGGTGTAATTTGTCGGGTCAAAAAAGGAAACATTGCGCAACCGTGTTGCAGACGCTGGAACCAACTCGTGTACTCGATAAAATACGTCTGAACCCAATTCATACTATTTTTGAAATTTAGGACCTAACTCGAGGTTATCCGCGCTCTCGCCACAGGACAACAGAACGAATAATAAAAAACAAATGGTTTTTGATGCGAGAAGTGTGATGGACGTTTTACAATTATATTAACTACGTTTTGCGCGTACCGATTTTCTTGATCCGCACGTCCCGGTTGAACGACACTCTGGGCCTCTGCGACGAATCGGACTTTTGCGAGTCCGAGCGGTACACGTCCAGCATGTTTGCGACGGGCTTCAGCTCGAGATCTGTGAACGGAAGAATTATAAATTATAATTGCGATCACGTTTACGTGTGTCGCGGCGCAGCGGACGGACCGTTTTGGGTTGATTGCATAACATGATTTACAAAATTTATGGGGTCTGGTGCCGAACCAACGTTTTGATAACAACGATAACGATGATCAACCGGAATGAATGTCCCGTTGAACCCCGCCGCAAGGGCGCAAATCCTTCGCGAAACGCGTGCCAGCAGCTATGAGCGTGCGTCAAACGTGTTGTGCTTCCACTCGGGCGTTTTTTATTCGGTCGCGTACGTGCGGTTGAGGTAGGAGTGCGCGCAGTCGTTGCGTCACTGGCCATGTACGGTAACCCGAGGATCGCGAGGACCGCGTGGCCCACACGAAAACAAACGCCCACACCGCCTAATATACCCGCGGCGCGTGTACTCCGACATCTTCGGCGCGGACCACGGGCGCCCTTCTTACCCGTACACGCGTATTTTGTGCGTTTCCGTCCGCAGATCTTTTCGCTCCCCACCCACCGGCTCGAGGGGTAGGTGACATAGGCCCACGCCCAGGGCGGCATTTAACATTTTTTTAAACTACGGATAAATTTCAAAAAAAAATATTACATATATTACAACTATGTGTAGCAAATAATAAGAATCAAAAAACTATTTTGTTTTATTGAAGTGGTTCGCTTGTCTACAAACGTATTAATCTAACAAATTGTTAACTTCACATCAATAAATATAATGAACTCAGAATTAAATCTATTTTAATATTGTCTATGTAAAAATAATATTTGATGTAGTATTTATATGTAAGATGCGGAAAAACTTATGTTTGCCTATAGATATAAGTTAACTTTGAGTCGGGTCTGTTCCTAATTTCACGGGCGTGCAGGTCGTTGACAAACCATTACAACGTTGTGCGTGCGACGATACGCGCGGTAAAAACACCTAGTCGAATTGCGCGTACACGGTTAACAAGCGTTTCGAAAAGGAAACGCGAACAAATATTACCTACGGGCACTGCGTTTGTACGAACCGAAACGAAAAATCGCCGGACCGCATGGGACGACATCGAGGTACCGTGATACACCGCGCGTAACACGTGGTCATCAGGACGGACTGAGCGTGGTCAATTGTGGTGATTTTGGAAACGCGTTTAAACTCGTCAACTCCTGATCGGCTCTCCAGCGTTTTAATTCTTTCATTGAAAATCGAGTGCTTCCATAATTTTCGGTAAGACTCTCTTAATATTTTAGCGGGTATGATTGAAAATGTGGGAAAATCGACCGCCGGCAGTGTTTCGCGGTCATGCATGATCCACCACTATTTGATCGAACGATACAGATGGACGAAGGGTGTAACGTTATATCTGTTTAAGTCGGCCGGGCATCAGCTACGACAAAGCCGACCATTCAACGATGATTTAACGACGTTTTCTTTAAAAACTACCAAACACTCTTCGTTCCGACAAAAACTACGATCGGTCGATAGAAAAGCGAGTTCGCTCGCAATAATTGTCGTCTCCGTCGAACCCCGAAGGGACACGAAGCGGACTCGAGTCGATGAACGCGACACCGAAACAATAGGCGGTACGCAACGTTTCGAACAGCCCGTCTAAGGCCGGGACGCGCAAGACGGGGAACACCCGTTCAACTCGCCCACTCGGCACAACACGGCGCTGTCGACTTTTTTTTTTTTTGTTCTTCACAATTCGGTCGCTCATTCGTTATTATTTTTTTCTTTTTTTTTCTCTCTCCTTCGGATGTCGAACCATCCGTTTCGCCGTACGGTGCGCGCACTAGTGCCGCCGCCCGTAACAATAACAACAACAACAACAACAACAACGAACGCCGTACGGTTATTTCGGATTGCGATTCGTCGTCGGTGTGTTGCGCCGCAGATCGGACAATGGGTACGTGCCGGTGACTGGTGCGGGTGCGGGCCGTCGTCGAACCTCCGAATGATCGATCGCCGCGGACCGACGAAGGACGAAGGACGTGCGTGAGATCCGCGTGGGCGAATCGCGGCAATACGGTTTTTCGGGCACCCGGGGTGCGTTCCGGACCAATCGCCTTCGTGTTCGCCAACCGTTCCGACGCGCGCCACCCCGTGGTTCTTGTCCCGGCAGAACTCCACGGCTGTTGCCCAGTCGACCGAGTCAGCACCGGGGTTGATCGCGCGCACGAAGACCGACCAAAGTACCTAGTAAGTATGATCGAGACCGTATCAATCACGCAGCTTTCGCGGGCCAGTGCAATCGACCGGTGGCGTATCCAAGTGGATGACGGTCAAGGGGGCTAAATTGGCCAAGGGGACCCATTTAAGGGGCGTATTTGTGTGTGCGAGCTACGCTATTTTTAAGTAGTTAGCGTTTAAAGTATTTCGAAAAACTTTGTCGCTGACCGGACTACGTGTGTTCGTCTGCGGTACATCTACCGGAATCACCATTATCTGTTCGGCGGTTATCATGAATGTTGTGACCGACGCTCGTCTCTAACTATCATTTTGCAATCATTATAGTTTCTAAACTATGCGGCGAACACCGTTATTTTGTTATTATTATAAATTATATTCTAATACGCGATGGTAAAACTATTGTGTAAATAATACCGGAAATACGTTTATAAACTTGGCGGTTGTGGGAGATGGGTTAAAGGGTTAACTTTCCTTTCGAATTCTGTCCGAAAAAGCGTTTATCCCATCCCATTTAAAAATCCTGGCTACGCCACTGCAGTCGATCGTGGTGTAACCACGTGCCGTGCACCTGTATTGGTATTGCTGCATTCGTAACGCGATTAACTCTGCGCTCGCGGCCGTACAACTTGCACACTTGCACCTTATCGTGTTATCAACGTAGTATCTATATTGCGTAAAAGTATCGGCGCTACGGTTCGCGGCGCCGACTTATCGGTCCTGTTTCCGTTTTGATAGGTTTCCGAACCAACCGATATGATGTTGCTGTTATTTCGCACGCGTCTCGTCATCTAGTCATGCTGAAGTCTCCGAGTGGTCAAATGATTTTAGTGTACGTAGATTAGGCAGTGCCGTCACAAGTTTTCGCGAGGCCCTAGACCAGCGGTCAAGAAAATTACTTTAAAATGTCCAACTAAAGATTAGTAATGATGAAAAAAATGTTTGCATTATAGAAAAAAAAATCTTTGTATATAAAATAAGAATATATAAGCCTTACGGAATAGTCTACATTTATATTTAGTATATTTAAAATAATTATTATTAAAGTATTATTATATATGTATACAATTATTATTATTTTAATTTTAATTTGAACATATTTTTTGAATTAAATACCTTCAACACAATATTATTATAAGATAATAATTTATTTACAAACAATCCTAAAAAAAGTTAAAAAGCTAAAAAAAATAGTAAGGGTTCCACGTATAAAAAAGTTTAAAAAACGCTGCCCTAGACAAAAGCAGTACAATTTCCTAAATATATCTAACTATTCTAATGTGAAAATTTGTGGGGTTTCGAATTTATTTTTAGTGCTCAGGCTTTAGGCGAACGCCTAAGTTTACACTGCCTACACGCAGTGTGATTCATGTCTCATGTTCGTTTTTTTTTTTTTAATTTTTAAGATTTTTGAGGGTTATGTTACTGGATAGTCTCCCTCCTCACACTTATTCCTGTTTTCTGGACAATTTCAATATCACGTTTGCTTATGGTACGCTATATGATGCTGAGTGTAAATATTCTATTTCTAATGAAAGAAAAAAAACCATAAAGATATCTCGAAATGTTGGGAAATTCGTACTTTTTTTAATCAAAATATATATTATTTAAACTCGAAGTAAATACTTGAAAACATATTGGTACGTGAATAGTATCGATATTGTCGATTCGATGAAAAGAACCATCAGCAAATCTAAGCGTTTGCATTTTAACAACAACGAAATTCATCCCACGCGTATTGTAATACAAAATATTCCTCAGATTGATCATTTGTACGACTTCGTTCGAATAAATTTGCCATTATTCTCAAAATCTTTAACTAATAAGTTATATGGCTGTTCGAACATACTTATTATTCTAATATGATGATGAATCATCTATAGTTTTCAGCACAAAATACGTTTTCATTTTATACCATAATAGGTTGCGATGAATGTTTCAATTATCGAAAATAATGTTTATGCATGTTAAATTCGACTGTCACGATTGAAATTGTTTAATTCATTATTTCTATTACGCGTTATTCTCGTAAATAAAAAACGAATTAATTATTCCTGGTAATGAAACAGGTGCATGAATAGGTGTTTTCGATAAATGTTATGCAAGTATAGTAATTGCTTATGATTGTTGTTAATAAAAATATAATACAAATAACTCGTCTGCGATTTAGGGACGATCGCAGAGGATAAGCTCAACGGATACGAAATGTGTTCGTTGTAAGTAAATAGCATTCTCTCTAATATATATATTAAATAGTTTATCATTTCAAAAAATATTGAAAAAAAAAAATGATAATCATTTGAACATAATTTAGTATCAAATCCGGTGTCTAAATAATATTAAGATAACGCGAAATTAAAGTTTCAATAGAACCGTTAATCTATTTTGAATTGAGTTTTATTTTCTAAACATTTCAAACAATAATTTAAGATTGAATTAGTTTATGGTCAATTTGAACGAAAAAATATTTGAAAATTGATATTACACACTTGTACATACGAATTATGTAAATAGCACGCAAACGCACGAACTTACAATAATCACGTATATTTTAAAGTTTGAACCGTATACATCATGTTACAATAATATATGTACAATATTGTGTAGTTTAAAATCCATTTTCACAACGTGAACAGATTTTACACACACGTATACGCTGTTAAACACATACAGTTATTGTATGGTTTGTGAAACACCAACAAATGGATTAGATAAACATCATACGCATCGTGATGAACTAATATTATTTTTCTTCTGTTAGTGAACCTCAATCGGCTATCAGAGGAATACGTAATGCGCAAGAAGAACTATTACACTTGGAAGTACTACAATTTATCATTTAAACCGATAAAACAACAATGTTCAAGTAAGTGCAATTTATAAACGTGTACCGTACAATTGTGGTATTAGTGCATACTAGATAGATGATACATATAAAGAGACACAGAGAGAGAGAGAGAGAGAGAGAAATATTTGCTACCTGTTGACTAAATCGGTTGTACAAAAGAAAAACGACTTGCATTCAAGGTTTCGTACCAAATTTGGGGACACTTTTT